GTCATTTACGTTGTCATTGTTCCATAATCACATCAGCGTCTAACACGTGTCTCATTAATATAAGACATCAACATCACACCACCACAACTTTGGATATGTAGGTGAGAGTTAGGCATGCATGTGCCTCCTTATCTTTGTTGAGAGATTTGATTTCGTAGTTTATCAATACACTTCTGGACATTTATATATAAAGCCTCCCGAGTTCATCTAACATTTTAAAAAGTTATACACTTAAACTCAAATATCATTAATAAATATACTAACATTCTACACCTAATACTAACATAGCATATATATTTAAGTCGATCTAATTATTTCCAACAATCAATATTAACAACAAATATAGATATAGATTATAAGGTTTTCAATTTGATTCACCATGTAAACTATTTATTGGTAAATCTTCTATAGACAAACTAAATTATTTTATCTCATTTGTAGTCTTTTACTAGTTAAGTTCGTAACATAAATTTTATTTAAAATACACTTTTAAACAGCAGTTGCAAATTTTGCCATAAATCTAATTAAGTTATCAATAATCAATATAACAACAAATATAAATTGTCATTCAAATTTATGGAATTTTGGTTTGACTTTCTCAATATACTACAAAAGATGATTCGAGTCAAGTGCCTATTAAAAAAATGATAAAAATGAAACGGTGGGATTCTTAATATTCACTAATTTTGATTGTTAATTCATTAGTGCATTCACACATCGATGAAAACGATGAAGATAGGGATGTGAAGTAGACTTGTAAATGAGGAAAAGTATCTTCAATCAATTAGCCCACAAAGAACATACCGTCATTACAAATTGGAAGCAATAGTGTTTAAAGGTGTGAAAAGGAAACCTCCATCCCTTTAATCATTATGATTTATTGGGACTCAAAATACAATTCATTTATACATATAGAATCTTTCTAATTTGATTTTACACGTATTTTTATTGACAGGGAAAAATGAGAATACGATGAAAAAAAAGTCAAAAAACAATGTCACACTCCTCAAGGAAACGAATGGAACGATGAAAAGAAAAGAATCCCATGTGAGTTGTAACCTTTCCACTTTCAACTTGCCCACAGTGCATCCGGTTTCCGGTAAATATGACGTCCACGTAGGCCCAGTCTATTCCCTTGGCCTTCCGCGTTTAAGCGTTCAAACACCAGAAAACAGCGTAATTACTTGTTTCAAAATGTTGAATCTCTAATTCCAGAGACATGTGTCACACTACCACACAAATTTTGAATATTAATCTCTTGTTCCAAATACTATTTATTGAACTGGTGAGTTAAGTTTGTGCAGATAACTAATGTTCAATTTGTTGAACTTTTCAATGTTCAGTTGATTTACATATACTTAAATGAATATTTACAAAAATTTTAAACACTCTCTAGATTCTCAATCCAAAGACTTAAATAATTAAACGTGTTGATATAAGAGTGGAGAAGTCATTGAATTGGTTCTTAGAACAAATCGATCTAATTACCCATTGCTCGAGTCCTTATCAATTCTGACTTGGATTTTTCACCACCAAATGACCCCGCTAAAAGATAATAAGAGATTAAGAGCATGTATCATCAGTACCAAAGTAATTTTTTCATTGAAATATAATCTTGCTTAGAAGCAACCCCTAACCTTCACTACTATACAATTGGCTTTATCACATATGTCGATGTTGTACTCCTATTAGTAACTCTATAATTGACATATGCATATTATTTGACATGTATATGCACTAGTCTATTATATTGAATATATGGACCGAAAGCGTTATTCGTAGACTAAAACTATGTCCTCGTGTCATCCCGAATGGCTTGGGGCTATATATATATATATATATATATATATATATATATATATATATATATATATATATATATATATATATTGAAAATTATATGGTGCTTTATTAGAAATAAGCCGAAATAATGTCAGGCGGGTAAACATCCCAATACATAGCAGCAGGCTGCTGGTACGTCGAAGTAGCTAGTGCATGAGCTAAATAATTGTCTAATCTAGTACTATAATTAACTGAACAAGACTGAAATATGATCCCGAATGGCTTGGGGCTATATAGTTATTATATAATATTAGAAGTATAGTAATACTAATTCATTGTTTAAGTCCAATCTCTATTAGTATCATTGTTTATGTAGGATACTCAAATTAATAAATATGACAAAAATATAGTTAATTTCAGCGAATGTCCTTTGTCATTGATGATAATTCTAAATTTAGTGTAAGATTATTATTTTTGTTATTTAACACCCCATATTATCATATTTTGACATTTTTGGTCCGTTTGATAACTTTTCTAGTGAAACCCTATTTTAGATAAGAGAATTTTTGTCTCTTCAATTTTAGTTATTTTTAATTATTTTCTCAGTGAGTTAATTCAAGCAAAGGTCCATATGTTTTTGTCATTTATCACCATAAATTATCATATTTTGGACTCTTTTTTTTTTTTAATCATTATTGTGACTTTTTTTCGGTGAAACTCAATTTTAGGAAAGGGCATTTTCTGATGACAAAGAACCTCACGTATTCAGTATCACCATTGATGAAGGACGATTTGGGGTTTGGTTGAAGGAGATGAAGCTAGACAAGAGCCGGGTAAAGGAGATGGTGCAATCCACGGCTGAATAGACACAAATCATGGAAAAAGAAAAAGAAGAAACATGACAAAACAAAAACTGTCGCAAAATGTTGGAAAATACAAGAAAATATTGAAAAGAGAAAATGCCCCTTGCCTAAAATAGGGTTTCACTTGAAAAAGGGTAAATATCGAAAGTGTCCTGTAGACACTTAAATTTTGATAAATATTGATTATTTATCAATATTAGTATATTTGAATATATTTGAAATATTTTGGATAATATTGATATTATCTAATTTGTTAATTAGATAATATCAAAAGAGTTTGAGCTTATCAAAACTCTCTATCCTACAGCTATAAATAGGAGCTCTCATTTCTATGTAATCTCACAGACATCCTAGGAAAAGTGATGTAAACATCTAGAAAAATATTATTCAGGATCACAATAAAAATGTGATACTGAAAGTAGAAGTCTCTCCTCCATAATGATCATGCATATGCCTATTGATCCAAACCTCCATTGAAGATCAAGCCATTTGAACCCAGAGGCCCTTCAAGAAGAACAAGCTATATATACAAGCCCTTCTTTGAAGATCAAGCCACTTGAAACCCGGAGGCCCTTCAATGGTGGAGTGTTCAAGGCACCAATTGAAGAATCAGAGGATATCCAGAGACATGTACCCACACCGCATTGATACTTGATATGTAAACCAGAACTTTGAATTTCTAAATATATATTCAATTTTCTTTGTTTACAAATTGGCACGCCCAGTGGGACAGCTCTGCCTCTCATCTCTTCATAGGCACTTTCAACCGGTATGGGAGCAAACCCCATATGAAATTTGAAATGGAGGAGGCTAAATGATACTCCTTGGCACGAGTTAAAACGGCCTCATATCTTTCAAGGCTCATTGGCACGAGTTGAAACGGCCTTATATCTTTAAGTTGTAGTGTCGAGACTTTCTTGCACTACATACTTTCAAGTTTTATATGCTCTCAAGTGGTGTACAAGCAAGTCTCGAGGGGGCATTTGTAGACACTTAAATTTTTGATAAATATTGATTATTTATCAATATTAGTATATTTGAATATATTTGAAATATTTTGGATAATATTGATATTATCTAATTTGTTAATTAGATAATATCAAAAGAGTTTGAGCTTATCAAAACTCTCTATCCTACAGCTATAAATAGGAGCTCTCATTTATATGTAATCTCACAAACATCCTATGAAAAGTGATGTAAACATCTAGAAAAATATTATTCAGGATCACAATAAAAATGTGATACTGAAAGTAGAAGTCTCTCCTCCATAATGATCATGCCTATGCCTATTGATCCAAACCTCCATTGAAGATAAAGCCATTTGAACCCGGAGGCCCTTCAAGAAGAACAAGCTATATATACAAGCCATTCTTTGAAGATCAAGCCACTTGAAACCCGGAGGCCCTTCAATGGTGGAGTGTTCAAGGCACCAATTGAAGAATCAGAGGATATCCAGAGACATGTACCCACACCGCATTGATACTTGATATGTAAACCAGAATTTTGAATTTCTAAATATATATTCAATTTTCTTTGTTTACATGTCCAGAATATGAAAATGACATTGCCTAATATCGATTAACTAAGACTAAATTTGAAATTATCAGCAAAGACAATGGACCTTCGCGTAAATTAACTCATTAAAAGATAATGGTAAATTGAAGAAACGAAAATACACTTGCTTAAAATAAGATTTTACAGGAAAAGTCATTGAAAGGATAAAATTTTTTCAAAATATGATAATCTAGGCTGTTAAAGGACAATAATAATAATTTGAGACTAAATTTAAAATTACTACAACAAAAATATGAGATCTCCGTTGAAATTAACTCCACAAAAATATTAGAAAATTAAAGCAAAATATTTTAATTAATTGATTTGATACAAAATATTGTAATTACTCGGAAATAATGCAAATAATATTTTACTACGTATAATAAATTAATTAGTCATGTCTGTATTGATTAAAGGGTGTGAAATGGTCAACTCAGCCTAGCTGTCACCAGCAGTCCAACCTTAATGCCTTTCACATTTAACACCCCGATTTTACCGAGTCTTTCTTTTAACGGTCAATTACTCTCCTTTTGACTTTCGTTTCCCAATCTTGAATCTCCTCCACAGGATTACCCCTTATTTACTCCCTTTGGTCAATGGCCTTAACCATTTAATCTACTCCGTATTTCCCATCCACCTTCCACGTGGAACCCTCCCATTAGCCATTGTCTTTGACTGCAATAAAGTCAGAAGCGGCAGGTCAGTAAACAAAATTTTCAACCATTAAGAAAAATCGAGGAGATAGAAAGAGAAAAGGTAGCATCTTAAGTTTGACTCCATTTTCTCTCTCTTCTACATCTTGTCTATTTTAATCGTCTTGGAGTTGGGTTCAATTTGCTGATTCTCTCTCTCAAACTCTTTCTTCTCTCTTTCTTTTTGACTCTACAGAGTTTCAGAGATCTTTGAGGGTTTTTTTGTTTGTTTATGGTGGAATAGAGATGGCTGTGGAGTTGTTGTCTGGTTACAGGAACGGCGGCTTCGCCGCCGCTAAGATGGAGGACAACGCCGTGAAGGAGGCGGCCGCCGCTGGGTTTCAGAGCGTTGAGAAGCTTATCAGATTGCTTTCTCAATCGCAGCCGCAAAGTAGTAGTGGGTTTTCTTCTTCTGGGTCTTTGGCGCCGCCGGCGGCCGGGGATTACCAGGCGGTGGCGGACGTTGCTGTGAGTAAGTTTAAGAAGTTTATTTCGTTGCTCGATCGGACCCGGACGGGTCACGCGCGGTTCCGGAGGGGCCCGATTTGTAACCCTCCGGCTCCGCAACCGCTGAAGAAAATGGATCAGGAATCGGACCCCGTGCCGTCGGGTCAAACCCGGGTTATCGAGAACTCCGAGAAGCCGCACACGGGTGCCTCCAAAGTGTATTCTCCGCCGCCGATTCAACGATTGCCGCCGCTCCCGCACAATCACCACCACCTGCTGAAGAACGGGCCGGCGCCGGAGGCGGCGGCCCGGAAAGAATCGTCGACCACCATCAATTTCTCCGCCTCCCAAGCCACATCCTCGCCGGGCTCTTTCATCTCATCGCTTACCGGCGACACAGAGAGCTTACAACCTTCACTTTCCTCCGGTTTCCAGATAACCAATCTCTCCCAGGTCTCGTCGGCCGGCCGTCCCCCTCTGTCCACGTCGTCGTTCAAACGGAAGTGCAATTCAATGGACGATTCCTCCCTAAAGTGCGGTAGTGCTGGTGGGTCAGCCTCAGGACGTTGCCATTGCCCCAAGAAAAGGTAAAGTCAACGCTAAGAAACCATTATCACATCTAATTATAAACCCATTGACCATAAACTTTACCATTAACGTCTAATTTTATCTTAATCAGGAAATCAAGAGTCAAAAGAGTGGTTAGAATCCCTGCTATCAGCATGAAGATGGCTGATATTCCCCCAGACGATTTCTCCTGGCGAAAATACGGCCAAAAGCCCATCAAAGGCTCCCCACATCCTAGGTAATCCAAATTAACTCCATTTATTCAAGAATTAAACTTTTAGTTAAGACAGAACACGTAATCTGATCGATTTTTGTTTAAATTTCAGGGGTTATTATAAGTGTAGCAGCGTACGAGGATGTCCGGCGAGGAAGCATGTGGAGCGGGCACTGGATGATCCGACGATGTTAATTGTAACCTACGAAGGAGAACACAACCATTCGCAATCGATCGGGGAAACTCCGGCCTCTCTAATCCTCGAATCATCTTAACCGTGGATCACCACGCGGTCCTCAAATCCAACGGCGCAGAGCCACGGAACCAAAGAGTCTAATCGAAATCAAATCAGCGCCGTCCATGGTTCAGACGGAAGATGACAAAGGGACTTGCACAGTCGGTCAACGCTGCTGGGTGCACATTAGGTTCCCACCATATGATTTGTTCCCTCCGCGTTTATTCGCCGTTGAAAAAAAAATACCAAAAAAAAAAGGAAAATTAAAGAAAAGAGGATTTGGTGGGAATTGAATCATGCAAGTAGTGGGTACTTTGCATATTGTATGTTTTCCTAACAATATTATTATACAGTACGTATCTTATTCAAAATGCTTTATTTTATTTTTTAATATATTGTTTTAGTTAATTATTATGGCTAGCTAGTCAATGGAGTATTTGATTAAAGAATATTTTAATCACAACGTGCCGTAAGTGGGACGATTGGCAATTCACTTTGGTATATGAGAAGGGATTAGGTATTCCATCACTATAAGTTATTATATGTTATAACATTAATTTATATACCCTAATTAAATTTTACTTTTCAACACAATCAACGATAAATGACCCCTATCTTAAAAAAATACGATAAATGACCCCTTATCACTTTTATCCCGAAGTCAAATAATGTGTTTCTCAATTTATTTATAAGCCTTCAAATACAACAATGTCAAATTACTATTAAGATATGCAACTTCTTAATTTATTATTTACTATGGGGTGGTATTGAACAAATTAATAAAGTAGAGAGAAAAAGAGAGGTAAATTTGAAAAAGAATATGAATGTATATGATATGAAAATAAATACAATATATAAGTTAATACTGTAATTTATGATGCACGAAAACTCTTAAGAGTTAGCTTTTAAAAAAAAATTAACAGTTAGTGTTTCGAAAATATTTGGAAATTATTTTTTTTATTTTTATATTTCACTGCTAGAAATTATGAAATTTTCGACCACCTGAAACTCTGAAAGCAATCTTAAATCAAGTCGAAAGCAAAAAAGTGGTCGGAAATAGCAACAAAAGTTTTTCCAAATATCAAAAGTGATCAGAACAAGGTTTTCAACTTGATTTAAAATCACTTTCATGTTATTGAAAATTCCATAATTCCAACCGTGCTTATATGTTTCTCTAACTTTTCACGTTAATTTACATTATGTGCAACCCTAAATTGCAACAAATTACATTAACATATTTTCTATTTTTGTTACGGTGATATGAAGATTATCTTTCAAAGTACATGGTAGGTGATGGCAGAGATTAGATTGAATTGTAAGGGCAGGACTGGATTAATGAATATGATTTGTTAGGTATAGTCGTATAGATATATAAATAAAATAATCAATAAATATGTCAAACAATATTATTTATTTTTTGTCAATGAATGAATAATATAATGGAGGGTAATTGGGTAAAGAATCTTGAGATCATGTGTGGATTTGATTGGTTTTGTGCTGAGGAGTCTCTGGAGATCTACTCATTGACCAACCACCATAATTTAGGGGAAAAAGTCAAATGGGAATAGTGGTGGTGATAATAGCTTGTGAGCTTTTGTTTATTAAAGTCTACAAAAGATTAAATGATTTGAATCCACCACTGTTTGAATTTGTTTGTTTCCTATGTTGTTGTGTTATAATAATAATAGACTTAGCACCTTAGGATGTGTATAAGAACGTAACTCAACTGGTCAGTTAATGCAAAATAAATTGAGAGGTTTTATTTTGTTAACAGTCGTAGAATGCTCTGAACACTAGTATACAAGTATGAAACACATTATACGATTTATCTCATCTACGAGTGATGAGGGCAAAATGGGAATAAGAAAAAGTAAGAATGTTTGGAGGTGAGTCACATACTCACATGTGTGAAAGTTTCAAAGGAGTTCCAGGTTAACCTCCCCTAGTACACCTTCCACTTTGGCCGTTGTTTTCGTCTTTTGTCTGTGATCAAAGTTGAGAGCTCCTCTTTGTTTGGTATCCTATGCATATTCATCAATTATTTTGTGGATCTCTCATCCCCCCACCCCCACCCCCACCCCCACCCTCTATATATGAACTTTTTAAACAATAATTTCGAGACGAAGTTAAAGTTATTACTCATATCGTATTATATTATTTGACATAAGTCTTTGATATTAAGTCAGTTGATTATCACGTAAATTTTAATATAGACCCTAATAAATCATACTCATCACGTAATGATCGAATCATTCTTAGCCACTCATCAATCTTAAAATCATTCATTCATATTCAGAATTACCCCGAATTACTCGAATTCAATCTTTCAAACTTTGTTACAACACTCCCAATCCATAACTATAAGCTTTAATCTCATTTCCATTTATCTATTCATTTATGTTAGAATCACCACACGCGAGCACATAATTATAATAATTTTCAAATCATTGAAGTCTCCGGCCGGCATATTTCATACATCAGACCAGATGAATCAAACCCAAAGAAATATTATTTATGTCTTCATTTCAATTATTATTAACATTTTTGCTGGTTTAATTAGTATCAGACCATTTGGTTTTAGTTTTAAACAAGAACACATGGGGATATTAAAAATAAAATAAAATAAGAAATTATTATAAGAGGTTATACCCGGATATGTGAACTGGATTGAGGGGTTGAGGAAGACAATAATGGCAGAAATTGAGGTGCAGTCAAAGAAAGGGGCTTGTCATTTTCGATTGTAAACTATTTTCTATATAATTGTTTGGACCAGCGTTTTTGCCATCGTTATACCGTGGACCAAAGTCCGACCCTGACCCTAAACAACATAGTTTTGAATTTTAATTTTGATTGCGACAGTTTGTTGTTCATTTTACGTTACATATTTTATTTTCTTGATAGTTTGAATTTTGACATGATCTAAGAAAAGTTTCTTATTTTTATATCAATTATAATAAACTTCTCTTATATTAAACATTAATTTTAATACCAACTATAATAAACTTCTCTTATATAATCTTAAGTGTATATATTTTAAATTACTTATTTAAATATAAATATTAGACATTAAATCAACCATGCAATGCGCATGTAAAACTAGTTTCTTTACAAATACATATATATGCAGTAACCAGAGGATCAACATTTTGATACGGGATATTATAATGAAGTCCAATCATCCCGAGTGATGAAAATTTCGTTTATTTTATCCTTATTTCCTCAAATACTAGTCAAAAAAATTGTTTTAAATTGAAGTCTAATAATTTATGATGGGATTGCTAGTCTAATTTACACCAACGGTAACATATATCAATTCTCATTCTTTTTTATTTGATTTGAAATATTTTTTGTCCGGTCAACTCAAAGAAATTTAAACCATGCACTCAATAGTAGGGAAGTATGATATGACTTCATGGAAGATTAACACACTAGTAATAAATGGGTGATTTGTACATGCAATTTGTTGAATGGGTCAAACTCAATAATAATACATTTTCTAGACATACTCAATAATACTACATTTTCTAGCCTGCAATTTAGTCATGAGAGGTAAATCGTAATTTGAAGATTTTGTACGACGAATTCAATTGAAATGGTGTTAACAAAAACTAAATTTGAAATCGTTTGGTTCAATAATCGTGCTTCACTCACTTAATCACCTCATTTAGAACTTTTTTTTTTTTTTTTTGTTTACTCACTACTTAGGTTCCCTACTTTGATTCATCTAGAAAAAAAAAAAAAAAGTGATGGTCACAATTTTCAATTATCTTTTCTTTTTCTATAAATAAATTATAATATATGTAAATTTTTCTCCCATAAAGTTTATGGCCGTTCCTGATAGCTGATTGAGTTAATTAGAGGATATAACTAGTTGATAACATTAACTGATTATAGAAAGATGTTTGGTAAATTAGATGTTAGCTGATAGTTGTTTGGTATAATTTCTTTTTTCAAAAAGTTCATTGAAAAGGTTGTTTTGAGCATCTTTATGAATTTTAGCATTGTAGTGTTACAAAAAGCTAATTAACAAGACACTTATATTGATTTTTTAACCAAGTTAAACAATTAATAGTGATCAAATAAGACAAAATTAACTGCTAGACTAACTATTTTACCAAACAGGACCTATTTATCATTTCCTTAACTATCCTATCCGATTAATTGAATATGTACTGATTTTCACCAACTATAAATTTTTAAAATTTTATATTAAAACTTGCTTATTTATAAAATTAAAAAAAAAAACTAAAATTATTATTTTCAAAGACTCAAGTAGTTGGGCTTATGCAATCCAATTGCAGGGCAAAAGAATTGGGACAGCCCAAATTCATTATTATGTTTTGATGATGATGGAATTAATACAATTTAATATTTTAAAAAATTAAAATGAGATAGGAAAGTAATCGCAAGGAGCAAAGCCAAGGATCTTGTGGTCCAATAGCACCAAGTTGTTATTTTATAAGGGAGGTTGTGAGTTCGAGCAAAAAGATTTTCTAGAATTATCTTTTAGTTCGGTGTGTTTATACATACCTAATAAATATAACCGTTAACCAAACAAATCGTCTAGTAACTAATCCACTTTGAGTCTTCAAAATTCAATAATACCTCTTTACATGCACAGTATACTATGTGTTCGCTGTATTATATCCTTGAATAGGGATGAACAAGATCAGATTGTTTCTAATTGTTTGGTTTGAATCAAATCATGCACGGTAGAAATTGAAATTAAGTCAGAATCGTACCATAACAGAACATAAAAGTTTCGGTACCGGTTTCAATTTTTATTTTATTTTTTTTTTTTTTAAAAAAAGAAAGGAAGAAAGAAAGAACAATGCTACTAAGAGCATCCACACTAAGGGAAAAATAGGAGATATTTCAGAAATAAATCACTCAAGTCAAAAATAATACTGATGTGGGAGTGAATTATTTGAGAAAGAATCACTCAGCAAATTTAGAGTTAATGTCAGAATTTTTTTAAAAAAAAAAAAAAAGAAAAAAGAAAGAGGTATGGCTGTGCGCGTTTCGCGCACAACCTGTGCAAAAGCCGGGCGTGTGCACTGCACGCGCCCGGTGGTGCGTCAGGCGCGCCTGACAGCATTATTATTATTATTTTTTTAAAATCAATTTTCTCTCTTTTTTTTTTTCTTTTTTTTTTTTTGTCTTCCCTCCCCCATTCTCTTTCCTAATCACTCATACATTATCCCCATATTCTTCCCAACTAATGTGGATGCTCTAAAGGGGAAGCCAAAAACTCTTAAAAAAATATAACATAAAAAAAATAAGAGAACTACACGAACTTTAATTTTTATTGAAATTTTGATTAAAGTAGGCAATTTAAATATTTTGATTAAAGGCAACTTAAAGATTTCGAAATGAAAAAAAAAAATCAAAAAAATTTAATTAATTGTTTCATTTGAATTATTTTGAAAATTGAAAATAGAATTTACAATAAATAAATATCTTGTTCGAACCGGCGACTAGGTCGACTTCTCACAAGATCTTCATACTTCACCGACTATGATATTTTTGAAAACCAGAATTCAGAATATATTAATGCATACCGACTATGATATTTTAAAACTTTGTATTAAAACTTGCATATTCATAAAAATAAAAAGGAATAAGGTTCAAATTGGCCACTGAACGTAACCTAAAAATGCAATTAGGCCACTGAACGAAAAAAAGTGCAATTAGGCCACTGAACACTCTAAAAATGTGCAATTTCATCTGATAGCAGGTTACCCTCAATTTTAGCAGGCTATCTGCTTACGTGGCAGCTGAGTTAGCATTTTTAATAAATTTTAAATCATTTTTAATAAATTTTAATAATAAATTTTTATTTAAAAAAATAAAAACGCCTTTATTTTATTTTTTATTTAATTTATTTTTCAATTTTTTATAAAATTTATTATTAAAATTAATTAAAAATTATTTAAAAATTATTAAAAATGCCAACTCAGCTGCCACGTAAGCAGGTAACCTGCTAAAATTGATGGTAACCTGCTATCCGGTAAAATTGCATACGTTTGGAGAATTCAGTGGCCTAATTGCACGTTTTTGGAATGTTCAGTGGCCTAATTGCACTTTTTGTTCGTTCAGTGGCCTAATTGCATTTTCAGGTTACGTTCAGTGGCCAATTTGAACCTTATTCCAAATAAAAAACTAAAATTATTATTTTCAGAGACTCGTCTAGGTTGGGCTTATGCAATCCAATTGCAGAGCAAAAGAATGGGGACAGCCCAAATTCTTCATTTAAAAAAATATTTGTACTTTTTTTTTTAATGCTACTGACTCTATTACATTGTAGTATCTGTTCAAACATACTTTCTCAATCTAATGAAGGTTACAACACCTCTACTGAGACTTTCTCAACCTAATGAAGCACAAAGAGTCAACAACGTCTCCACTGAGACTCGATAGCATAACCTCCCACATGAAAGAGGTCACTACATGCTATATGAGCACATTGATGCAAACTGTGCAAGTTTCTCACTTGTAAGGTGAGGTCAAAAAAGTCATTTAATATATTTTTAAAAAAATTTATGATGTGGGTTATTGTACTTAAAAAAAATTATTTGTTTTTATGTGTTAAATAATTATTTAAAAAAATTAATGTGATGCGAAAGTAAAATTATTTTTGAGAGTGAAATAATATTATAGGGATGTAGAAAAAAATAATGAGTTAATACTCAAAATGGTCATCGACTATAATGGTTTTTCTCAATTTCGTCCTAAACGACTTTGGTGACCTAATGTAGTCACAGACTTTTGTGTTTGTGCTCAATTTAGTCATTCATTTGTTATTCCGTCGTTTAATGTTAAATAGAGGAACAATTCAATAATTTCAATATCGACATCTTTTACTATTTCACTTTCAAAAATAATAACGAACCATTTTGAGTATTAACTCAAAAAATAATGAATAAATTACGAATTTGATAATGTTGAGATGGGATCTATTTTTAGAAAATAGAAAGTATTGCAAAAATAAATATAGTCTTATATCATTTTTAACGTTGTCAATATTGATTATAGAAAGTACAACTGTACAAGCTAAGTACTACTTATTAGCATTTAAGTATCGACTCAAGAGTTTCCAATCATATTAGTCCGTCCCTACTCCATATCCAAATTAATGAAATATGCACTCTTGGTTTGACCAAAAATGTATTGCAGTAATATATACTGGGTGACCCAACTCATTCTCACCGACAATAATATTTCAAAAATTTATATTAAAAAATTGCTTATTTATAAAATGCAAATTGTATCATGGACTATGGTTTATCTTGCATTATGGATAATTCAACATTGATTCAAAACAATGTAATTTTATTTAAGTTAGAGCGATTTTTATTTCTTTTTTTTCTTTTTTTTTTTCCTTCCATTAGGTCAACATTCACATTTACATTAAGTACATAATATGTGAAGTGTAGGTACTTATATATGTAGATACATAATCTATTAATTATAAATGTATCATTAATCATTATGTCCGTTCGTTCATGTTCGATTCATTACTCCCTCTAAACATACCAAATTCATCATTTTTAAACATAACAATAGTATTAATATGAATTAATACAAAAAAAATAATTTTAAAATTAATAACAAAAAAAAAAAAAAAGAAAAGTAATTCCACCCATAAAAAAGATTCTTTGATTCTTGTCTTTTTTATTTAATGTAATGCATGTGTATTTTATCATAATAAATTTTAGTACACAAATAATAAACATTTATTCATGTGTTCTCGTCTTTTCTACTTTCAACTTTTACTCTTCTATACAAAATCTTGATGTAGACACTTACATTAGGATTCACATGAAAAAAAAAAATAAATTTATCAATGTTTGATATATCAAAAAATAAAATTTTAAAAATAAGATTTGAGAGTTTACGTAGTATAATTCTTTCTGGAATCACCCGATAACCACCCTATTCTCCATTTCTCCATATTCAAAGATGCAATAACACCTCTCAGCAATCAACATGCACAGTTTCTTTCAAAAAAACAAAACAATCAACATGCACAGTGGGCCAAGCCTTCACTAGATCGGGTTAGGCCAACCTCATACTTTACCGAACCCAACAAAATTGGGTTACAATTCACCTTGTATTGTAGATCATTGTATAAAAATGAAATTTAGATAATACATCTGCAGTTAGCATTTGATAGATTATAAATTGAAAACACATAATATATTAATTATAGACACAAAACATAATAATAGACAAATAATATATTATGTGTCTGCAGTTAACATATTACGTGACTTCAATTTATTGACCGACGCCTAATTTATTAATTAAAAGTACATCACATTTTAATTGCATATAAATAAATTTTAGACTAAAATTCACAATGCATTATGGATACTGGTCCATGATATAACAATTGAATATAGTATTATTTCAATTAATAATTTACAGTTGATGGATTTAATTACCCGGGGTGGACCCGAATCACTAAATTCGATAAAGAACGTAAATAGGAAATAGATATGTAAAATAGATAAAATGATGTCGTAAGGTAGCATGGGCCGTATATCATATTAAATATCGCTAATAAACTATTACAATGCTTGATTAGGACAATAGTAGGTAGAATATAGTGAACGTGTCCTGAAGGAACAAAATGAGGGGTATTTATACCAAATAAACCCCTAACCGCCCCACCTAAATCGAAGGGTGGTTGCATCTCCCGTGTTGACCGCGCCCGGGCCGAGACCGCGGGTCAGTCGTACCGAGCTCACCATGGTCGAGCTCATAGGGCTGAGTTCACATGGCCAAACTCATGTGGCCGAGCTCACCATGGCGAAACCCATTATGGCTGAGCTCATATGGCCGAGCACGGGGCTCAACCTCGGAGCCCCGGGACCATTCCATACTTCTTTGCTCCGCTTTCCAGGATCAGTTTGCTCCGATCATAATATATCCGTCAACAGTCAAGTCGTATTCGATAGAAGTTAAAACTCTACCTACTTACCTGTTCTTAAATTTATGATATATCCATTATACAAAGTAAAAACTCAATACAATTAAATTCTACCTACTTACCTGTTCTTAAATTTATGATATTCATTATACAAAGTACCCCTTTACGTACAACTTTGGGAGTTAAGAATCATGGTGTTCCCTAGCACCCAAGAGTGTAACTTGTAGCTGGCCTGCATACAAGAAGACAATGAACTTAAATGCGACACCAAGTAATGGACTCCATTCACAAATATATGATTATTATTAATAAAATAAGACTGAAATTAAAGGTGCCAAAAGCACAGTTGCAAAGAAGGTCTTCTCCATTTCTTTAATAATGAAAAGCATGCTCAACTGTGGTCACAACAACAATAACATGGTGAACTTTTTCATTGCAATTAGTTTTGAACCAGACGACTGTAAATGATAGATACAAAACATTATACTCTGTATGAATGAATTAAATACTGGAAGCCAGCAGTACTATAAAGTAGCTAGGCTGCTTGCTTTCCATGTTCAACTTGGTTCTTTCGATCTCCACTGTGGAACCAAATAATTTCCAACATAGAAGAAGATGGTTAAGGTTATGGGGAAAAACATCATCCTTATGATTCTCAGCGTGTTCCTCGTACTCCATAGTACTAGTACTCTTGCTAATGGAGGCAAAAAGAAGCTTGCAGTTTCAGGGTTGGGAGAAGGCGAGCTAGTTTTTGCAGATCAAAGACTGGCTGCTGTTTACCCCATTATACAGAAATTCAAGAATATCATCACTTCTGATCCGTTGGGAGTGACCAACACTTGGGTAGGTCCAAACATCTGCAACTACACTGGGTTCTTCTGTGGGAGCCCCCCAGACAATAAATCAGCCATTGCTCTTGCCTCTGTGGATTTCAATGGATTTCATCTCACAGCGCCGAGTCTTGATGGGTTCATTGATAAGCTCCCGGATATAGCCCTCTTCCATGCTAATTCCAACAGTTTTGGAGGAACCATTTCCCCAGATATTGCTAACCTTCCTTATTTGTATGAGCTTGATATCAGTAACAATCTGTTTTCTGGGCAGTTCCCAACTGCTATTCTGGGTATGAAAGGCCTTACTTTCTTGGACATTCGTTTCAATTCCTTCACCGGGTCAATTCCACCCCAGCTGTTCACCAAGGAGCTTGATGCAATGTTCCTCAACAACAACAACTTCATGCAGAGGTTGCCTGATGCTTTCAGCACCCATATTTACTTTCTAACCTTAGCCAACAACAAGTTCTTTGGTCCAATCCCGCGGACCATCTCGAAAGCCTTGTCGGGTGTTTCAGAGGTTTTGCTGCTTAACAACATGTTGAGTGGCTGTCTTCCTTATGAACTCGGGTTTTTGAAGGATGCTGTGGTCTTTGATGCTGGAAACAACCACTTAACAGGTCCCTTGCCATTCTCATTAGGGTGCTTGGACAAAGTTGAGGTCTTGAATTTTGCAGGGAATCTGATGTATGGAATGATCCCAGAGGTGATATGTTCCCTGGGAAATCTGGCAAATCTATCCTTGGCTAATAATTATTTCAACGTGATAGGGCCAATTTGCTTCAGCTTGATCAGGAGTGGAGTGCTTGATGTGAGGAACAATTGCCTTCCTGGTCTGCCATTCCAGAGATCAATACCTGAGTGTGTACAGTTCTTTGCTGTTCCAAGATTCTGTCACAACATGGCATCATATAATTACATTCCCTGCTGGCACCCCTACTTCAACTCTCCTCCTTTTTCTCCACAAGAAATGGCTCCTTCCCCTTTCTAGTATGGTCTGCTTAGTTTTTGGTCTTGGAATATTCTGTTCATGGACTTCTTGAATCTGTATCAAACATGAATGCATTACATTTCCAATCATTCCTTCACATGTCTATGTTCCTAACATTCAACTGCTGTTATCTTCCTACACTCATCTCAATCAACATATAAAACAACCAGATGAGACTAGTTAGAGACTTAGAGTGGTGTTCTTTTTTTTTTTTTTTTTTTTTTTTTTTTTTTTTTTTGTTGTTGTTGTTGTTGTTTTGAGTAATAGGTAAACCGCAACCACTACCTGAATGTGTGTACTGGGTAAACCCCACCACCTTGCGGTCTTAGCTGACAAATGACCACAAGAAGGTAAACCAGCTTATGTTGCTTATAGCTGACTAGTTCAAACCAACAAAGTTATTAGGCTATTCCCGTTGACCTTGTAGCTACCAAACTAACAATTTGAATAACTTCATGGGTGGTCTAGAGTGGTGTTCTTTCCTAACCATTGGTTTGCTTTCTTTTTTAGATCACCCAAATACTAGGTAGGTGAAGTTCCACTCATGTTAATGGGGTGGTTAGTGATCAATCCCAATATCCCATCAAGGTTTGATGATCAAATTAGAGGCTACCCAAAAATCCACTACCACCTGAAAAATAGTGTTTTTTTTCACAGAAGACAGACAACAACATTATATTTATCATTCACCAAACATTAACACATCAAACTATCAGTTTTGCGGCACTGAATGCCTCAGCCTTGTCATACAACCACTGTTCTTAGTTTTCAAAGCCTCAAAATGGTTAGTGGAGAACATAGCAGCAGATAAGAAGTGGACACAAATATTATACAATGCATCAATTTGATCCCTTTTATTCTTCAGCTTGTCTTTTCTAGCCAATAAGCATCAAAATATATTGTTTGGCCTGCACCAAACCTGCAAGAAGTATATTATATTCACCCCAACTTTCATCCTAAATCTATCCGAAACATTCTTTGAAAAATGCAAACTTTCAAGTTTCAACCCTCAATACAATGCATAGCTACCCAGACTATAGAAATGCAGGTAAAAAGGAATACAGATTTACACGCAGAAATTGCAGTAATGTCATTATCAATCCATTTCTTTAAACAGGAAATATACCTCAGGGCCCCTGTAAAAACGAGTGGAGATTTTAGTAGATTACTCCCCTCAATCAAACAGTAACGAAAGTGACTAGTTTGGCTTTGGGTCCGACAAACGCACAACAATTGCGGTAATTGCAGTGAGCTATCATCATCATCATCCAAAAAGTGGAATTTGACCAGTTTGAAATTTCCCTACCTTGATCGTTGAAGGCTCTAATTTCAGGACAAGGCAATATTTTCTCCATCAAGAAATGAATACTCCGTTAAAGTTTGATTCACGTTTCAGATACTGTGAATCCATTTTTCAGCTTACTTTTAGCACAAATCAATGGGCTTTTCGATACAAGCAAGGCTGACCAAAAGGCTAAATCCCTCCCAGAGGTCCTACAGAAATTGTGAAGTTAAATCAGGATTACTCGGTATTCACTGCTGGGAATGATGCAATTTTCGACCACTTGAAATTGATCTCATAATTTTCAACCACCTAAAGTAATCTTAAACCAAGTCTTGTTCCTATCAGCCCGTTTGGTTCGCTGGAAAATATTTGAAGGGAAATGGAATTCAAAATCCATGGAAAACAAATTACCAGGAAAATAGATTTCATTGTTTGATTGGTGGAAAATAAATTACTGGGAATATGAATTTCATTGTTTGGTTGAGTTTGGAATGATAAGGAATTATGAATATAAAGACCAATATGCCATTCACAATAATTTATACATGTGTAGTTAATAAATTTTGATGAGGGCAAAATAGTCTAATATTACTATATTTTCTTCCCAACTCATTTGGAAAACAAAATACCAATGTTTAGATAGGATTTTCTTTTCCTTCACCTTTGGAAGTCAAATTCCCATGGAAAATATTTTCCATCCAACCAAACAAGGTAAAACAACATTTTCCTACATTTCATGGAAAATCTTTTCCATGGAATTTGATTTCCATCCAACCAAACACCCCCTTAGTGTCTGGAAAAACTTTTGTTGCTATTTCCGACCACTTTTTACTTTGGACTTGATTTATGATCACTTCCGGTCGGAAATTTTATAATTTCTATCAGTGATTTGTGGCTTTTAAAATTCAATCGTACTTGAGTGTGATCTGTAAACTCAAGAATTAACTAAGTTATCCATGAGGACCGATGTTAAATTACATTTCTAGTGGTTGGTTTTCTCCATGATATTGTTTATTAGAATTGTACTTAATGATAACATAGTATAAAGAAACTGTTTTTCTTAATCAATTGGGATTTCAAAGGTCAAATCTTTCATCATATCAATGCTTTGCTGTTTACATGAATCAACCTTTCTTATAAGTAGGGCCTAAGTTATTGTTTATGGCATAACATCAACTTCCAATTATAAGATTGAACATACTAAAACAGTGGCTCTAGTGCTAGTGCAGACATTTAGGTTGTTTTTATTGTCTAATGATCTTCAAGATTGTCATGCACTCATGCACCAATAAATGAAGCTTCACAGTTCAATATTATCATTAAGTTTTTGTGGGCAACCCAACCAAGTTAGTCACACAATTAGCTTAATAAATAATAATCATAAAATTCCAAAAAAATAGATTTAACCTCCTTGTGGTTTTATGGGCTTTCCGTAAACCAAAGTTCTTATGACTGCAAAATGAGAAGATGGTGATGCCATTACACATTCCAATTCTGGTTACAATACAAACAGATATCGGAGTAGACACTTATTTTGGTTTTCAAAGTTAAACCAAACGGGCCCTTATTATCATTCAGTGTTCAATTATGGAAACTGGCAATAATAGCAGCCCATCAACCTGCAAAATGACATCAGGCCCATCTTTTTTTTCTTTTTTTTTTTTTTTTTTTTTTTTGAGAAAAACATAGAATGCATTAATACTGATCCGCATTACAAATAATAGTAAGAGGGATAGAGAACCACTTCATCAAATAGACTGCTTTGCTGATAAGTGAGTCACTTAATTCGCAGATCGCCTAGAAAATGATAAATCAATCTGAGTAAACATGTTTATGAAGTTTTTAATGCCAGCTAAAATTAAATGAAAGAAAGAATCACTTAAATTTGAGTTGAGACCTTGCACAATTCGAAAGGAGTCTGTCTCAACCAGAAGAACATCCGTAAACACGTTAGGTGGAGGATTGGTAATGGCAACCCAATGCTCCACCAAACTCATAACTTGGTTGCATTGTTTATATACCTAATGCCTCTACCATTACTCAAGACATCAATTTTCTTAAAATATTTGTTATGGTGTTATAGGAAACTTAAATAACCTAATAATCCAAATAGTACTTTGATAAATGTCTCGAGCCTAACTTAGTTTGTAAGAATTATTCTAGCCGACTTCACCCATAGCCGACACTAATAAATTATTACTTGTGATCACATCAACCAAAGAATATCACAAACTGACCTTATGCTTAAGGGACAAGGTGTTGAACCACCACGTCAACCATAAGAATAAGTATAAATATAAACCCCTATCATCAATGTAATTTGCATTATCAATTTGATATAAAGATTTGATTTTTATTTTCTTATGGTGTAAAACTGTAAAACTGGAAATATAACCGTCTGTTGGGAAGGCCATGGGCAGGGCAGTTGGCACGGAAACAGAGGAAGAGAGAATGGTTACTGCTATGAATCGGAATTCCCCACCTCTCTTCTTTCTTTGGTTCCCTTCACGTGATTCTGACTCCGACCCTGCCTTTACACTCTACTCTCCTACTGGACAGGACAACTCCTGCCATTCTTGTATGCTTTTGTCGCTTACCCCTCGATTCCCTCCTCTTTCTTTCACTTTCCATGGAAGTAAAACTGTAAAATTTCTCAACCTCTCCCCTTTAATTCCCGGTTCTTGAGTTGTTTTCTTGTACAACCAAACATGGTGGGGCTGCTCGTGATGGTTTTGCTGTTTGCTAGTCTTCTTCCATCTCCGTCTTCTTCTTCTGCCAGCTCGGTTATCCCCTCCGACGCGTCGGCATTGTTGGCGTTTCAGGTGAAGGCGGACTTGAAAGGGAAGCTTGGGTTTTCTTCCAACTACAGTTTGGGTTTCTGCAAGTGGAATGGCGTGAAGTGTAGCGAAGGGAAGGTGGTTCGTTTGGTGTGTGAAAGGGTGGGTTTGGATGGGGTTTTTGCTCCGGATACTCTGACTCGGCTTGACCAGCTCAGAGTTCTGAGTTTGCAGGATAACTCGCTCGCCGGACCTATTCCCGATCTTTCCCGCCTGGTTAACCTGAAAGTTCTGTTTTTGGACAGTAATCTCTTCAGTGGACTTATTCCTCCCTCAATCTCCACTCTCCACCGCCTCAAAACCCTTGATCTCTCCCACAACAACCTCACCGGCAACATTCCGGCGTCGTTCAACGGTCTGGACCGGTTGTACTATCTCCGTCTCGACTCCAACCGCCTCAACGGCTCCGTGCCGGCGCTCAACCAAACTACTCTCCAGATCTTCAACGTTTCGCAGAATATTCTCTCCGGTCCCATTCCGGTGACGCCCACATTATCGCGCTTCAGAACGACGGCGTTTGCCTCCAACAAAGCTCTCTGCGGTGAGATAATACACAAGGAATGCCGCCCTATTCAACCCTTTTTCCACCCATCTCCCGCCACCACCGCCCCGCCGCCGCATTCCGCCAAGGCCGTCAGTCAAAACGCACAGTTACGGGACGGCGGAGTGTACAGCCCCGAAAAGAAATCAACCAAAAGGTCCGTTCTCATCATCGGGTTATCCCTAGGGTTTTTCGTCCTCATTTGCTCCATTATCTGTTTCGCCCTAGCCGCAAAAAGATCGAACAAGTCAATCTCGTCGAGTCCGAAAATCGCTTTGGACCCGAGCGTCGCCGCCGCCGAAACGGAGGCGGTAATGAGAATCGAAGAAGAAAGCAACGAGCTAGAAGAGAAAGTGAAGCGAGTGCAGGAAGGAATGCAGGTGATGGGGAAAAGTGGAAACTTGGTTTTCTCGGTCGGCGAATCTCAGGTGTATACTTTGGAGCAGCTGATGAAAGCCTCGGCGGAGCTTCTGGGGCGGGGAACGCTGGGCACCACCTACAAGGCGGTGCTCGACAACCGTTTGATTGTTTGCGTGAAAAGATTAGACTCTGGGAAAATGGCGGGTAGCAGTAAGGATGAGTTTGAACGGCACATGGAATCAGTGGGCGGATTGCGCCACCCAAATTTGGTTCCTCTCAGAGCTTATTTCCAGGCCAAGGAAGAACGCCTTCTGGTCTATGATTACCAGCCCAATGGCAGTCTCTTCTCCCTTATCCATGGTAATCCCTTCAAGAATTACCGTTTTTTTTTTTAAACTATTGCTTTTATCATCCATTCATAGTTCTAACTTCTAATTGGTGAGTGATTAGGAACCTTAGTAACTACAAATTCTAGGTAGGGGCGTTCTTGGTTTGTGCCGGTCAGCAATGGGTAACCTATGTTGGTTTATCTCGAGTCGTCTATGGGTTTGCAGTATTACCTTTTCATTAAGCTGATAGTTGGATTGCACTCGGACCCATGATCTTTGGTGTGGCTTGATACCAAATTGAAGCATGTGCTTCATAGGCTTTTAGTTGTATTGCACATTAATGAAACCTAAGCTGATAGTTGTATTGCACATTAATAGTTATATGCTCAACAAAGAAGTTCAAGAATCCATTTTTGGAGCATGATTGATGACATTCTTTGCTAGGTCTGAGATGACTTGTTTGGTTGGTTGGCCTTGTATCGTTTCAGGTTCTAAGTCCTCAAGAGCAAAGCCACTTCACTGGACTTCGTGCTTGAAAATAGCAGAGGATGTAGCTCAAGGCCTCTCGTATATCCACCAAGCATGGAGGCTGGTTCACGGCAACCTCAAGTCCTCTAATGTCCTCCTGGGATCCGATTTCGAGGCCTGCATTTCTGATTACTGCCTCTCGGTCTTAGCCAACCCCTTCTCAGATGACGACCCTGATTGTGCAGCCTACAAGGCACCCGAGGTTCGAAAACTAAACCCGCACCATCAAGCAACTTCCAAGTCTGATGTTTACTCCTATGGAGTTCTTGTACTGGAACTGCTTACTGGGAAGCATCCCTCAGAACACCCAGTTCTAATGCCGGATGAGATGATGAAGTGGGTAAGGTCCACCAGGGACGATGATGATGGCAGAGAAGAAAACGGCATTAGGCTGGGAATGATTCTTGAAGTGGCAATGGTGTGCAGTGTGGCGTCCCCAGAGCAAAGACCGACCATGTGGCAAGTGTTGAAGATGATCCAGGAGATCAAAGATGCCGCCATTATGGAGGAGGATGGTCGGGAAATGGACCTACTCACCGGGACTTGACTCTTCAGCATATACTATTATTATTTTTGCTATGTATATATACTTGAGCATGGCGACATAACTTTTCCACACAAACCCTCTCTAATTCTTCCCTTCCATTCTTTACTAAAGTAGCACAAGTGTTTTGCTTTCTTTTTTAGTACGTCCAAAGTTTATTTACTTTATAATATAATAAAATACATCACATATTGTTAATTTAATTAGGATCGGTTCAACATAAATCTAATATATCCGCTCTAAACCTTCTCTGTGAAAATTTGGTCTAACTCATAACCTTATAGATACCAAGTCAACATGTTTCCATCATTGTTCATTTGTTTGTACATTCTATTCTATACACAATAAATTTCCTTAACCTCTAATCAATTTTTTGAACTTTAAGTCTCCCAATAATACTCCACCGCTGGCCGTGTGATTAGTTATGAGTGTTACCACTAGTGCACATGTACAACTCAGTTGGTCACATAAGTAAAATTTGAGAACAATAACTTGGGATCGAGTCAGCCATCTGTGTTCAACTGCTCTAAAACTGTGAGATTTCTTGTACGCAGTAAGCAAAGGTCTAGCATTTGTGTTCAACTGCTCTAAAACGACGGTCTAGCATCTGTGTTCAACTGTTCTAAAACGACGTATAAATTATGTATTTTTAGTATTGGAATTGTGAATAGCATCTGTGTTCAACTGCTCTAAAACGACGGTCTAGCATCTGTGTTCAACTCCTCTAAAACGACGGTCTAGCATCTGTGTTCAACTCCTCTAAAACGACGTATAAAACGACGGTCTAGCATCTGTGTTCAACTCCTCTAAAACGACGTATAAATTATGTATTTTTAGTATTGAAATTGTGAATTTTTAGAATATAAATAAATTCTGTTTCTAAGTCAAAACACATAACTGCTCTAAAACGACGTATAAATTATGTATTTTTAGTATTGGAATTGTGAATTTTTAGAATATAAATAAATTGTGTTTTTAAGTCAAAACACATAACAGTTGTAAAAGAGAATTTACAAATACAATACATGGTTATCAAATTATAATATGTTAATATTAAAAGAAACGTGTGAATACAAAACAATGTAATCAATTACATATATACTAACATAGTAACATTGTATGTTCGTAATATATAAATTATAAAATTTTAAAAGAATTGTAAATATTTAAATTCTAACGTAGACCCGGGTCCACTGAATAATTTGCGTCATGTTACCATATGGCTACTATCTCCAACAACTGGAGAGGTGGGGCGATTCCAGAAATTCCTAGAAACTCCAAAGAAAAATAAAATAAAATTATTGTCACTGCTACTAATCTAACCGCTCCAACTCTGGTAACTGAAATGCCATGGACAGTGCGGATTCTGACTTGATGGAGGCGGACTCCTCGTCGGCGCCGGCGCTTCCACCCGATCAGGACGACTTCGTCAGAGATTTGCTCACTATGGCTCGCCAGCTTATCGATCAAAACATGCCTTCTCAGGCTCTCCAAGCGGTGATATTTTATTCTCAAATCCCTACTTTTATTGTTTCTTTATGAATGCTATTATATCCTCTCGTGATTGAGCTTGATTTTGATGATTCTTACCTCATTTTCTAAATTTCTATTGCGAATTTGCTACTCCCGTTTGATATGCCCATGTTAATCGGAGCAGTTAGCTGAAGGAAAAAAAAAAGTTATGATTTTAAAGCATTAATCGTTGTGCTGGTACTATAATGCTTCACTCTTTTAGTCTTTTAGAGCATGATGGCAACTAAAAAAAGCTAGACTTTGTCTTAGGGGGTTTTTGGAAAACTAGGCCATCATTGATTGCTGAATACTGTTTTTGAGTCCATAATTAGGAAATGTGATGAGTTCTGAAGTGTATTAAAGCAGCTAGGAATAACTTGTCCTGGCTCCAATGGTAAAAGGGAAAACTTGACATCCCAATCAACATGATTGGTTGTCACTCAGATAATTTCCTAACTTCAAATATGCTTCTAAACTTCCCTGAAGCTCCCTAGGATGCCTTTTTTATGTGCCATTTACTTGGGTATTTTCGAAAAAATGAAGAACCTTTATGAATTTACAATCTTATTTGTATCTTGGATTCTACAATAAAATGAGTCATTCTGTGAATGTTGGTATGCAGGGTAGGTTGTTCAAATGGCATTTAGTTTGGTGGATGCTAATTGTGTATTGTTTCATTCTTTCTGCTGACACTTTTCATGGTTGATTTTGCTGTTTATCTGGATTAGACTTGTGTATTCGCATTGTCTTGTAACTGTTGATACTAACGCTCCTGGTTAACAGGTGGTGATGGCAATGAGAGCAAGAGATGGGGAGGGGGCTGTACATCAATTGCTTCATCGTGCTCGGGAGCTATACAGTAACAAAGTGCAGGCAAGTGCAGCTGCAGATGAACTGGCTTCTTTGCTTGCTGAGTGTGCAATTGCCGAGGCCACGCCTCCCAACTCTGAGCCCAATGAACATAACACGGCAGATGAATCTGTGGAACTAGAGAAGAGTGGGACTTCAATACTATCAGAGACTGGAAGGAAACAAGTTATGTTGGATGCATTCTCTGATGGAAGCAGCTTTATCTGCTTTCAATGTGGGGGTCTGGTTAGCGCAAATAGGAGAGACGAGCACTACTCCTTCTGGTGTTGTAAAATGTGAATTCTCTCATTCTCGATTGGAAATGCACCATCTATCTAGTTAACTACTCCACTCTGTAACCATCACAGGTGGTTCATTGATGGTGCTCCTAAGTCCTACCCCATTCAACTTCGAAGTGCAACAAATTTTCTATTCAGCAGCAGAATCTGATCTGAAACTCTGAAAGCAACGTTATTAGCATCTGAGGTTGTGGCTAATATCATGCAGTTAGAGAGTGAGTGTCAAGAATATAATGCATCCTCTGGTATTGTAATCAATAACACTATTTTTTGCTCCTTATTGTTGTCATAGAATAATTGCTGGTCAGTTTGCCGCATCGAATGTACAATGATAAATCATTACCAGTTCTGAGGATTCAGTTTTCTTTGCTCTGTTTCCTCTTTATCTGAATAGAATGTCATTTTATGGAAGGGTTGATATCCAGAATTCTTGGTCTATATCCCATTTTTGTGAACTCAAGTTTGTCAACAGCTATGTAGTCTGAGATTGAGAAGGTTATGAAGTTTTATTTGTTATATCCTGAAATAAATACTGTGCTTACACACAAAACAGTGTACATTACAGATTTACACAGATCTGCTAAAGAATAGGGCTTTTCCACTGTTGATGTAACCTAAGAACTATACACAACTCTGGCAAGTTTTGTGAGTCAAAATCTAACACCAGCCACTTATTGCAATACTAACATTCATCTCTTACATGAGCTCTGTGGTTAATGACTTGCCCGCGCCTCTATGTAGCAGCAATACATTTCTGCATTTGTGGCTGCAGCTGATGATTGAATGTCAGAGTTACTCTCTTCACACAAAAAAAGAAAAAAATGCAGTGCAGTTCTTCTATTACAGCTGAAACAAATCTCCCCCCGAACCACCATGTAAAATGCAGCCTGCACGGTATGAACTTTTGATCACCAGCTGCAAGATTGCCCGATATAATGGTGAAGAATGAAGATGGCTTAGATGGGGTTTTACCTGCTCTTATTTCTGAACACTTAACCATTAATTGGGTGCTGAAAACGCGGGTCAGAAGAGAATATACACCACTCACACGAGCTAATGGCTACGTTTGATGTTAGGCAGAGTCAGTGTACGAGGTTTTGCCCTCATGATCGTTTCATCACTGTGTCTAATCAATTCGGATAGTCTCCAAGGCTTCTGCCATTTCCATTTGAACTGTAATAGCCATTGATGATGACTTCTCTTCCACCTCCATAGCTTACCCCCTTGCCCTATGATTGCTAACTTCTTCGTTGAAAGCTCTCCCATCGGCACCATCTGTCATCATCAGAATTTTAACACCAACCATTTGAAATGAGTATGGGCAAAATCTCGGGAAAGGCACCAAATAAAGGGCGGAAAAAAGAAGTCATCAAGTGTAAAAGGAAGAACCTTCCGAGATTGATTAACAAAGCTGGCCGATTCTGTAACCAAAGCATTAGCAATACCGGCTGTGTATTCGAGCTGTTTCTGTGCTGGCACAGACATTGGAGACAAGGCACCAGTCATGTCATGGTTAGAATTCCCCTGTTATATTAGTATTTAGTAACATCATAGTATGACAAGAGATAAGGAGTTTAAGGAAGCACAAATAAAGTGCCAAAGAGGATTATATCATCCACAACGACATCATTTTGAAAAGCATACGTCATGGAAACCATGGAAAACGATGGAATTGAACAGCTAAAATAATTGGCCAAGAACACAACAAAATATGTGAAAATCCTACCGAATCAGATGTGGCTAGTGCGATTGCAGCAGTTTGTTCTCGAACTTTGAGCTCCTTCTCGGCTTCCTTTCTTTTAATTTCACTCTGTTGCAATAAACCTACGAGCTCTTTCATTTGCATCTTCATTTCCTTAATTTCAAGTTCATTCTCCCACATTTGGCACCTATCGGAATAAGAGTTTATTTTAGCAAGCACAAGCAGATATATATTCTCTCTTTTTCATTCTTCTTTTAACCCTCATTCTAGTGGCTTCCTTTCTAGGGGAATTGAATTCTTTTTACAATGGGAGTAAGAGAAAAGAAGAAGCATTCAATTCAAAGATTTAGCAAGTCAGTTGATACCTTGCGTCTGCAAGAGAATTGAACATATATTGAAGCAAGTTTTTTGCGTCCCCCATTGAACGTAGTTGATTCCAACGCCCACGATTACTAAAGGCTCGCTCTCGCTCTTCTGCTTCTGAAAGTTGCGAGGCCATTGCAACTAATGAATTCGATGAAATGCCTAGCATATTCTCAAGAGAAGCAATTCGTGCCATTCTAGAATTCGGTGATACTGAAGATGCCCTGAAAACAATTGCAAGCAAATAGGTTAAGCAAGAAAAATAGAAGATAAAATGTGTTATAGCTGCAAATGAGAGACGAGTATTGCACCTAGATAAACCATTTTTCCCTCTTGGAGGGCTAATTCCTTTCGCGGCTAATTCATCAACTTGTCTCAGAACAGCAAGCTCTTCTGCCAATGCAGCTCGTCTGGAATATGCCAAAGTGAATATGATTATGTAAATCAGAATAAAATTTGCACTCGGAAACAAGAATGAGCATGGATGAACTTTAATTGGTTTACATACACTTGGCTCTGTTTCTCATATTCATAACGAACTTCATGAATATTGACCATTACTTCAAGCTCGTTATCAAGCCAACGCTGCAAGGACTTCTCGTTGCTCTGAAAGCAGATCATAGCAGTAACATACTTTCAGAATGTAGGTTTTGGCACATAAAATAACATTCGTTAAGAAAAGAGAGATCACTACCTGCCCATTAGCTCCATATCCATTGCTAGTCACTTGATTACCCCAAAAAAAAAAAAAAAAAAAAAAAAAAAAAAAAGGAATAAGAAGAAAAAGAAAACCAAACAAGCCTTCTTAAATTTGTCATGGATGTTAAAGGAAAGTAAACCTGAGTTTTCCCGAGCTGAAGATTTTCGTGCTTCTAGTAATTCTTTTAGCCTCTTAGTTGCCATTGCAGCCTCCTCGGTTTTTCTTTGAACAACCTGAGATACAGTTGCTTAGACATCAATGATTATAATCCAATCAATAGCTCGTCTAACCCATGGCCTTATAAACCCATATTTTTCTCTCTATTTTTTAAAATGTGGACTCTTAACACTAACAAAGATGATATTATTACCATCTTTTGACGCTGATTCAGAGCTAACAGTTTATGCCTCTCATACTCATTCCTTCTTCCCTCCTTCTTTAACTGCATTTCAAAAGAAAACACACATTCTATGGATCAGAGTACATATTACAAACTAATGAAATCCATAAACTGAAAAAGTAGATATTAAGAAGGAAAACATGCTATGCATATCTTATTCAAGCATTTAATACAATTAAATCAATATTTAAACATTTATAGCAAGATGGAGTCGGTAAAAGCAGCAGAGATTGGACCTGCATTAACTCCTTCTCCCGAGATGCCTTCCATTGCCGAAACTGTTCTGACTCTTGTTTGATCTTTTGTTGCAATCCTACCTTCTGTGCCTTGATGGACTGTATTTCGTCCTGTAATCTTTTTGCAGCTTCATCGCTCTTTTGTTTTTGCTTTAAAAGTTGAACCTGATTCTCTTGCTTCTTCTTCAGATCTTGTATCTGGTGTGAATATTATTAAAAACCTCTTTCAGTCAAAAGCATAAAAAAACAATCTTTTTCTCTAATTCAAAAAGGAAATTGTTAGTTAGATGGACATGGAACCCGCCTGTGCTTCAAGGGTTTTGAGCTTCTGGGCATGCATATCATGCAATTTCTGTGCGTGTCCATCGGAATTAGCAGCAAGGTTTTCAACCTCAGTTAACAAGCGGTCTCTATCTTGCTGACAGGTGAAGAAGGGACGGAGATCAATATCAAATGTCAGACAAAAAATGTGAAGTGCAAGTGTCTATAGGTCTAGGATCACCTCTACCACTCTTTTCTCCTCCTCGAGTTCTAGAAGCTTCTTTCCAAAATGTTGCTTAAGAGCCATCGTCTCCAACCCCCCATAGAGCTTCATCTCAGACTGGGAAATTCTCAGACAAATAAACGTTGGATTAATCACCATTTGCTTAAGAGCGAAGCGAAGGAAATTTGCATAAACATAAAAGTTTTCTTTAATCTAAAAGAGAACTCATCTAAATGATTGTGCTGCATAAGAACGAACAATAGACTCAAATTCGTATCTTCATATTCATACAAGAAAATATGAATGTGTAGAAAATACTCAATTGACAAATAAATACAAATGCACTCAAATACTTGAAGATACCTCTTTCTCTTCCAAACGCCTATTTAACTCATTCAACTCTTTGCCCATAGAATCTTGCAGAAGAGTATGGGTCCATTCTTTTTCTGCTTCTTCATCCAAACCTCCAGGATCACCTGCTGCTAGTATTTGTAAAAATGGATTATAAACCACTAATAAAAAACGAAATAGTTTATTCCACGTGATAGTTGGGATAATCATTGACTAATCTTACCACTTTCCACCATTGAATAATCAGAAGACTCCATACTTTGCAAGCCCCTTTTAAGCCCTTCACTTCTTACTGAAAAGGCACCGCTTACCTGGGGATAGAGATTGGAGTTTTCAATTTAATGACCCTTAGAGAGTAATTCCTATATTTATAAAACTGTTTTCATGAATATACAAAGGTTTAAGCTTTACATTAGCATCTATTCCACACGGCTCAGAGGCAGCACATTTGCTGCGGTACTCGTGTAGTTCCCGACTCAACTCTTCATTAGTTCTTTCAAGCCAACTAATCCTATCCTTCAATGCCTGCAAAATCAATGTATAATCAACCTTTTCCATGGATAATGAAGCGGGAATGCTACCCATGACTCATATTTTAACAATGGGTATAAGGAAACAAATGTATGCACACCTGCATTTCATCAGACAAAGAACCTCCTCCTCGAGCACAAAGTTCTGCCTGTAAATACTCCAGTTGTTGACGCATTTTCAGCATCTCATTGGATAACGGATCTCTGTTAATCTGGTTGATGAGTGAAAAAAAGAAGAAGCTAAGAACCATATTCCAATCTAAACCCATGGAAATGTCGATAAAGTAAAAGGGATTTTTTTTGGGGGGGTACTTACAATTGGTTTGTTCTGTATGTTACGAGCCCGATTTGCATACTTCAGAGTGTTAAGAGTTTCTTCAGCATTTATATCAGCAGGGCTAATGCATGCTGGAAAATACATGGATTCATATGTATATAAGCACAAATAAGTAAATAATCCACTACTTTCTATGAGAAAAAAAAAAATACCTATCATCACAGTTCTACTGTTACCACCAAGTGAGTCCTGCCAATTTCAAAAAAAATTTGGTTAGGACAAATTACTTGATATAGCAAAATTTTAGGAGCATATTGTTAGAGTAGCAAAATTATTTTAGGAATACTAAGAATTCAATCAAGAAAGTTATCTGTTAGTGAAAATCAAACCTGCAATAGTCGTGTGAGTTTACTATCCCGGTATGGAACGTGTACACCTTCTTTCCGCTTTTTCTCATCACCTAGCGCGCTAATAACATTTCCAAGAGCAAGAAGTCCCTTGTTAATGTGAACTCCTGTTAATGAAAATCCTCTCAACAACTTCATAATAACTAAGTTGTTCTAGAAAATATAATACACGAGAAAAGTTACACGGACCTTCTTTAAAACGGAGACCATCAGATCCTGTTCGTTTTGCTCGTTCTGATCCAGCAAGATCGACCAAATGCAACTTGGCACACAGATATTCTTCAGTCAAGCAGTCACTAGTATTTCCATCACTCGAAACCATCGAATTCATCTTGCGCATCTGCTCTACTGTAATGGTGAAGATGGCATGAGAGCGACTGAAAAAGGAAACAATTTAACAGTCAGTAGTGTGGAAAAAGACCTTATCGGTCATTCAACTGGGCTATAATGCACATGAGATAAACCACACTAATAGATTGAATCCAATAAATTATTTAGTCTAACCAATGGCCTTATAAACCCATATGTTTTCTCTTAATTTTTCAATGTGGGACTCTTTAACATATATTAACCAACCTTGACTGGTTATTCATGTTTGTGCTGCCTGTTGCCCTGCTCAATGATCCTTGCTCCAGACACTCAGCCATTTCTTTCAAATTTCTCACACTACGCTCAGTAGACCCTGCCAAAGTAATTACACCATTTGATGTTTCACGAATTTGTATTGGCGGTTTCCCAGGGATGTGTACCTTCCCAACATGACCGTTTGCTGTCTCTGATTTGCTAACAGAACTTGAATCTAGCAAATCTCGTACTTCTTCTTTATGTATCTGTATACAACGAGAGCTTCATTACACACTGCCATTGGTTTGAGCACAAACATTCCATAAACTATATATATGGATATGGAGTTGATTATAGGCTTATAGCCTATAATCTTTAACTCACTCGTTGAGAGCTACAAAGTAAAACATGCAAACCATCGTTTCAAAGGAGAGTGAAAAGGGTAAACCTCAATGTATGAGACGTGCAGTTGGAATTCGGTTTGGTGCTTCAAGGTTTCAATTTTGCCGAACAAAGCGTTCATAACTTGGGGAATAAGTCCTGTTTGGCATCCATCTTTGAAACCTGTACCCATGGTGTACGTCTTTCCTGAACCTGTCTGTGTTATGCTTAAATGTCAGTTCACGTGTCTATGAAATAAAAGGAACCTTCAAACGCACTTCCATTAGATACACATACATACAAGTGATCTTACTAAAGGCAAAGATTACCTGACCATAGGCCAGAACAGTGGCATTATAGCCTTGGAACAAACCATCAACAAGAGGAGCAACACACTCTTCATACATGGAAGACGGGGTAGAGCCAGTGCTACCGTAAACATGATCAAAAGTAAACGAATGTGAGCCTATTAACACCTGCATAACGAGCATAATCAGCAGCAGAATTGTAAATTGGAAATTGGCCATTCTCAAACTCTAATTTCTTGTTAACCAATCAAAATTCAATGACAATGAACTTTCAGATGTTATAAGCTTGTTTATGGAAGGGGCATATCAACTATCCATATTCATAAATTTAAAAACTATTAGGCTTTCCTTATAAAATAAAAATGTAAAAGAGCAAAAATTCCCTGAAAGAAAGACCTTCAATGCTGAAATGTACATGACTATCAGACAGTAATGCTAGAGACTAAAATCAGAAAACACTGGGATCATATGAATACCAAATCCCAAACTGATACATGCAGAAGTTCCAAATTTCCCAGAAGAAAAGCTAGAGTCTTTGAGAACTCCAGCACCATAACAAGATCTAGATCTCCCAAAAACCATGAATTTTGATGGAAAATGCCATAATAAAGCAACTCCAATAACAACACATCATCAAAGACATTAAATTCGCAGCAATTCAGCCCAGAATCATATAATGGGCAGTGAAAGTACCTGAGGCTTCCCAGGGACCACAGTAACACAATCTTTACAACCCTGAAGCTTTTCATCTCCAATGAGTGGCCTAATATGAACTGCAACTTTCACAGAACAATCCTCCCCAGAATTAGGAGCTTCCATCGAAAACACTATCCCCAGCCAGGCACTTTGCTGGAGGGAATATAATTGAAGAAGAAAGAGCCAAACAAAGGAGGGGAAGTGGGCAAAAATGTGTTTAGTTTGTGAGTTGGAAAAAACAGTTAGCCAAGAAGTAGAGAGCAAGTTTAGGGACCTGAAACTGATGCTGCAACTATACACAGTGAAAGAGAGAGATGGAAGAAACGCCAAGAAACTATAAGGAGAATGAAAGAAAAAAAAAAAAAAGCAAACCGCAGAGAGAGGGGGGAAATAAAGGAAAAGGGTAGTTGAGAGATTGAACAAATGCTTGGAGGTGTATTCCAGAAGATTCAGTGTGTGCAGTGTGTGTGTATTTAGCCCAAACAGTAATTACTACTACAGTGACAACCTCAGCTAATTCTTGTCAAACAGCTAGCTTTCTTTTTCTACCCCACAAAAACAAAATTTTCTCATCCTCATATTTTAACTCTACAAAATAATAAAGAAATAAATTACAATGACTTAAACGACTCATTAGATAAAAAAGATCAATATTTATATTTGTATAGAATACATTTATACTGAAATTATCAAATTCTTACACAGAATCTATGATTCGACAACCTCAGCGAAATTCTTGGTCGACGCTGCAATACGGCACAGAACAGATACAAGGTAGTTTGAGTTCCCAGCTAATGACGACTCACCGAGGAAGGTGTTGTTTTAATTGACTTGACAGAAATGCCCTTGGCGGCTCGTAACGGCTATTCTAGTTTCCCGTCGAAAACCGCAACAGTTGTCCGTGCCACTTTCGGTCGGTGCGGTATTTACATGTTTGCCCTTTTTGTTAGTTTTATCACATTTAAGGGGATTAAGAGTTAAGACTAATCCTTTATTATTAATCACAACTTATTAACATTTTTTTTCTCTGTTATTTTCATGGCGGGGAAAAAGGCGTGTCATAGACAGCGCAAAACCATGTGATGCAGAATCCTTCACGAACTCGGAGAGTTGATTTTGGCACAGCCGCCCATGGAACTATGGTCGGCTCCGACCATTTCCCCACGTACGTTTGGATTAACAAATCACCTATGTTTACATTTATTTAATCATTCAGTTTATTTTTAAAACCAATAATTTTGAGATAGTCCATAAGTAAATGTTAATGTAACTTCACATAATAGATGAATGATAGAATACGTTAATGTAATTTCTATTTTGTTGTTTGGTTCATTTTTTCAAATCAACAATATTGAGACAATTGATAAACAGATATTAATACAACTTTGCATAACGCGTATAGAATGGATAATTTATTCTATGATCTGGTTCATTAGTTGGCGATTAATACAATTTCGTATTAATCTCAGAAGTCACTACTTATATAGCATAATAGCAATATATAATTCTTTTTCTGCTTAAAAAAAAAAAAAATCATTGAGACACATTATTATTTTCTATTAATTTGTTTTCTAAATGCAAATATATTATTGCATGGGGAGGGATGTTGAAAAGTGGTGATGCATCTCAATAATTCAGCCAAAAATGCTTGAATGGGCAACAAACAATTTTCTAGTTCATTTAATGATAGTGATGGGCATTTTTCTATTTTTAATAATTTCTTTTTTCCTTTATTTAATGAAATGATAGTCTAGTATCAAGATTGTGGTTTTTGTCGATATAAGTTCATCAAAATGCATAAAGTAAAATTTAAATAATATTAAAGAATATTCTTTTAAATCTAATACCACATATAGGGCTCTCAAAAGCTAGCACAAATTATTATTTTGTTAAATTTAGTATCATATAATAGGTGGGGCCGTAGTCTAGTGTGCATAGGGTGTTAGAATTTGTGTGCATAATTGAGTACACTAGACGCTAAAATGAATTTTTAGAATGGGAAATATAAATGGTCAAAACTATTTTGTTTATGTTCGATAGGTCCAACAAAATTAGATGTGTGATAATAAGCAACTAGTATAAATTCATTATTTAATTGAAGACATATTAATTTATAGAAAATTTTCATAATGTTTCTTACTCCGACGTCTCTTTTTTGCCAACATCCTAATGATCAAATCCGCCACGCAAGATCTCTATAATGTTGTTTACATCACATCTATATTTGCAAACTATTACATAAAAGCGAAGTTTATTCCTGCATTATATAGATAGTGACAGTAAGTTTTCCTAATCACCCAAAAAACATAAAAATATTTCAATAGCTAAAGCTTATTATATATATTTTTTTTGTTATAGTTTACTTTTCCTCCCTCATTTAAATAAAATCACTGTGAATCAAATTAAAGAGTGAATTCGTAGAAGTAATTTTTATAAAAAAGTCTGCATGGGCAGCTCAGTAGGTCATGGAACAATAACTCGGGATCGAGTCTCACAAGCAGCGACAGTGTGGGAGCAACCTCTTAAAGTGAGAATAGCACATCGTGTGCAGTAAGTAAAAGTCTAGCTTCTGTGTCCGGTCATATGCTTTGTCGGGCCGGGATCGTAGAAGGCTCTTGGAGTCGGAGATTCAACTTTTTGGGAACAATTTTTATAGAGAAAAATATAGGCACAAGTGTCAAATAGGCCCATCTACTACTGCGAAGTGCTCAATTTTCACCACGAACTAAATTAAGTGTCAAATAGGTCCATCTACGAGTTAAATTTGTTCAATTGACTTTTTTTACAGGTTAATAACAGGTTGCCTATTTAATTATTAAAATAAATAAAATAAAATAAAATAAAAAGAATACAGCCGGGAGGACAACCGGTGGTTGTATTCTTTTTTTCTTTTTTTTTTTTATAATAATTTTTAAATTATTTTGAAATTATTTTTTCAATAATTGAATTGGTAACCTGCAAAAAAAAAAAAGTCAATTACCTACAAAAAAGTTAATTGAACAAATTTAGTAGGTAAGTGTGGTTAATTAGCCTTTAACTTAATTCAAGGTGGGAATTGAGTACTTAACAATAGTACATGGGCTTATTTGACACTTCTCCCAAAAATATATAATATTTCTTGGCAAGTTGGCATAGATCTTTCCCCAACTTTTAAAAATTGCAAAAAATGGGGAGTATATTAGGCAAGGAAGAAGCTATGTGAAAGGCTTAAAAGGGCATCTAGAAGGCTAGCACATAGACTCATCGTTAATAATAGGATTAGAGCTTAATTACATGCATTATATTTTCCTAATTTGTAAACTAACTACATTGCCCATCTACTCCATTTATGTATAAATGGACCCATACTTTATTAGGCATTAATTAACCCCTCACCACCCCAACCATATATAATGCAACATACATAAATTAATAGAATAATATTGTAAATCTTTTCTAATTTAACTAAAGATCTCAAGTGACCAGTAGTTGTTTCATTAATGTATCTTCACTGTCCGCATGGGCAACTCAGTTGGTCACAGTAATAATTCGGGATCAAATCTTACCAGCAGTAGTGTGGAAGCAACCTCTCAAAGTGAGAGGACTCCTTGTGCGCAGTAAGCAAAGATCTAGCCTTTGTGTTACCATGATTTACATCCCCCCATATGCTTTGTCAACCTGAGACCTAGAGAACCTTTGGGGTTGAGGATTCTACATTTTATGAACAATTAATGCATCTTCACATCAATCACAACATAATAATTGTGGGTGCATCTTAAAGTTTATTTTTTTTCGTCTTTTTGGCAATTGTCATTATATATGGAGGTCAAGGTTTTTGTAATCACAAGTGCATCATATGAATGTTAAGTGGGAAATTAAATAGAGATTAGAAGGGTTTTTTAATTAATGCACTGTGGTTAATTAGTAGATGGCCTGGCCAAGTGGCCAATGGTCACTTTCATCTGACTAGAAACGAAGAAACGTCCACAAGTTTTGGTGCACAAATATCAACATACACATATACGCCAAACCATTTATTCAATGATTTTAATTTGGAGTGTACCATAAGGTTAGGAGTCTTGAGAGTTGAGACTGAAAGGTCAGGTACTGTAGAAAGTGCCCTGCTTACCCATTTATTTAATCGTGGTCGTTACGGCATACATATGTATGTTCCAACTCCTCATCAATCTCGTACTAATTTAAGCAATTCAAACCCATTTTACTTTAATCAACGTCTTTTAATTAAGTAGGATTTTAGATGAATTATAATTTTTTTTTTTTTTTAAGTCCAAACTCCAAATCAATCTAAAAAGGACGACTTGGATCGGATCATCCGATCTGTGTTGCAACACATAGTACATTAACAGCTCAGAGTGTACTCCGTCGGCCGGGCAAGAATACACATATGGCTTCTTCAACAACGTTAAAATGGTGTCCCCTATACTCAAGCATGGGTAGGGTGACTCACATTATATTAGTCAATTATTAACCATGCGTACGTACGTTCATATATATATTTGCTCCAATTCATCATTTAAATCAAGGGAAAATGGCACTTTTCCCCCCTGAGTTATATACTTATAGTACTTTTTCTCCCTCAATTATTTAAGTGGCTCTTTTCCCCCCTAAAATGTTAAATGGACATATTTACCCTTAAAATAAATATTTAAAATAAATATTTCATTTATTTTTCTTCTCCAACAAATTATTACTGTAATTTGGTTCAAACCAAACAGATACTATAGCAACCAAACCAAAATATTCCAATTACAATTTAGAATCAAAACGCGATATTTAGAGTTTATTAAAATCGCAAATCGAAATGGCCGGTTCATGTTCCGAACTGAAAAAATAAAATACATTTATTGTTGAATTTAGACTATTTTAAAATAAAATTTAAAATAAAGACGGTTCAAAATCGCGAACCGGATCCGGAACCGCCGGTTCACGGTTCATGATCCAGTTTTTTTGGTTCATAAATTTAATAAATTGAAATCTAAATATTAGATTCTAGATCTGAATCATATCCGAAAACTTTTAATTCGATTGCTATAGTGTCCGGTTCAGTTCGAACCGAACCGTGGTCATTGCTACATATACACAATAATTTGTTGGAGAAATAAAATAAATAAAATGTTTACTTTAAGGGTAGAAATGTCAATTTAATATATCAGGGGGAAAAACCACCACTTTTAAAATAATTGAGGGGGCTAATGTGCTTACATAAATAATTGAGGGGGAAAAAGTGCTATAAGTATATAACTTAGGGGGAAAAAGTGTCATTTTCCCTTTAAATCAATTTTTTAATATAAATATTATCATATCGTCAAATAATATAAAGAGTGTCGATCATAATAATTTTTGTTGGTTTTAAAAATAATGGGTTTAGCATTTTATGCATGAATGCGACCACACTTTGATAACAAATGTGGATAAGATTTTTTTTATTTTGTATTTTAAATGCATGAAACCTGCTATGCATGAGATTGATGAGTG